ACTGGGTATAAAGTTCTGAAACTTCCTGAACTTGGGGTTCAGGGGGATTGATTGATTACAGCAAAAGCTTTTTCTTCTGAACCTGGCTGCAGCCAAATAAATCTGCTTTCTGTTAATTCTTTGGTGTCTGACCTCGTCTGTTCCTACAACACTATAATACCTATGAAGCTACCTTTACTGATGGTCTTTATTTTTTCATATGGCTTCAAGTTACAATCTAGCATATTTTCAATTCAACCAGAAGGATTCCCATTATCATTTCATATAGGGAAAGTGTACTAGTGACAACTTTTTAAAATTTTGGAATGTCTTAATTTCTTCATTTTTGAACCATGTTTTTCCTGGTTGTAGAATTCTTGGTTGACAGACTTTTATTTTGTTTTTTTTCCCCCCAATATGTTAGGGTATCCTCCCTCTTCAGTAAAAATAATCCACCTGATAAGTTGTATGTCAAGGTCACTTCTCTCTTGGCTTCTTTCAAGATTTTTTTGTCATGGATTTTAATAATTTTACTACAATGGCTTGTGCTGTGTATCTCCTTCAGTTTCTTGCACTTGGAGCTCATTAACTTTCTTGGGTGTATAGATTCATATGTTTTATCAAATTTGGGAAGTTTCAGGCACTTTCTTCAAATATTCTTCTATCCTCTGTCTCCCTTCTCTCCTCTGTTCCTCTCATAGACCATAATATGTTGGCAAGCTTTATGTCGTCTTTCAGTTTCCTTCAGCACTGTTCACTTTTCTTCATTTTTTTCCTCTCTGCATTCCAGAGTGGATAATTTCAAATGGCACACCTTTATATTCACTGATTCTTTCTTCTGAATGTTTAAATCAGCTGTTGAACTCTTCTAGTAAATTTTTCATTTAATAGTTGTTAGACTTTCTTGTCTAGAATTTATCTTTTATATGTCATTTCTATTCCTATACTTTTCTTTTCCAAATTTCTCTCTCTCTCTCTCTCTCTCTCTCTCTCTCTCTCTCTCTCTCTCTCTCTCTTTGTACTGGGGATTGAACCCAGGAGCACTTAACCATAGAACCATATCCCTGGCCTTTTAAAAATATTTTATTTAGAGACAGGGCCTCACTAAGTTGCTGAGACTGGCTTTAAACTTGTGATCCTCCTGCCTCAGCCTCCCGAGTTGCTGGTATGACAGGCATTCACAACTACGACTGGCTAAGAATTTCTCATATTTTAATAGAACATCTATACCTGTATTGAGATTCTCTGTTTGGGGAGACATTATTCTCCTGGTTTCTTTAACTTTTTGAGTTTATTTAAGACATTTTACTTAATACATCTGTTAAGTACAATATCTGAGCCTCCTTTTGGACAGTTTCTGTTTTTCTTTTTCACTGTGAATAGATCATCCTTTCTTATTTCATTGCATGACTTGCAAATTGTTTGCAAGAAATGGACCTTTTTTAAACTGTTGTCAGGTCCATGGAGGTGGCTGAGGAACAAAGCACCAAGCAACCTGCCTGCATGAAAAAAACACCAATCAGACACTGATGGAACCGCCTGTCAATCAGCAGTCTCCTGGCCATTCCTGGATCTTAGCCAGCTCTCCCCACCACCAACTCCAGTAGGACAAGGGACTCTTAAAAACCAATTTTCCCATCCCATGCCCTCCCTTTCTGCTGTAAGCCCCATAAAAATTCCAGTCTGATGGAGCCCCATGCGCTTCTCCTTAGACTCACCCTGCTGGTCTGAGGATCCTATCCAAGAGTGAAATCTCAATAAAGCCTCCTTCAGCAGCCTTTTAAAATCTGCCTCCTTTTGGTCGCCATTGCCTGACCTTACAATTGTTATATAGTAACTCTGGAAATCCTGAAGGACACTAGACAGTAGCTTGAAGCCATATGGAGAAATAAAGAACATAGTATTCATGGAACTACTTTTGCTGGGGTTCTCCTCCCCTGACATGGGCTTGTTGCTGTTGGTGTGTTGTGAGGGTTCTAGTTGTTTAGTGACTTCTCTAAACTCCTTGTAAATACTGTAGTCTTTGTCATGAGTGATCACCAAAGTGGACTTAGTGGTGAGCTAATGATTTAACAGCTGTAGTATGCTGTTTTAAATTCCTGGAGCCAGAAACAATTTTCTCCATCTTGAAGTCAGACACTGAGGGTAGTGGAACATGCTTCCAACCCTCTCCCAGGAACTCTCCAATCCTCACCTCACCTTTACCTCCTGCTTGCACAGAACTTGAAGGCCATCCAGAGGTGAAAGCTCAGTACCTTCTTAGGTTTGATTTTTTTCCTGAGCATGCAGTGAGCTCTGGGAAAGCACACCCCTTCTAAATTCTAACATGTGGAAACTTTTCACAGTATTCCATTTTCAAGTATTTCCCTCCTGCAGACTTTCCTCACAGGATTTTTGGTCTGCTTATTATTTGCCCCAGTTGATTTTTTGTTCTCTAGGTGACAGCAGCCAGTCACTTCATTAATTTTTAAATGTTTTTGACAAGTGCCTTTGGCATGCTGCTTTTCCTAACGGGGAGAGTTCCTAGGTAAGTGAAATAAAGGCCAACCCTTTCTGTTACTCCTTCAGAGAACATTCCAACAGGTCTAAATGTTACCAAAAGCTCCGTCCTTGTCCTCATGCCAATCCAATAATGAGCCCATGGTATTGAGAAAAAAGAAAAGGAAGGTTTTGTTTTGCTTTGCTAGCAAAGAAGAAACACAGGCTGTGATTCTGCCCATCAGCAGGAACAGGAGGCTTCTAAAGAGGTGACTCAAAGGCTACATTCCACCTGTTCTCTGTTGGGGTTGTAATCCACTGGTTAATGCTGGAGATAGTCATTTCTGAGATCTGTACCATCCCCAAAGTCTGGATTGCTTCATTCCTATGGTGGGTGTTTACAGGGGACAGAGAACTCTGCCTAAAATGTGGAAGAAAGGTAATCCTGTTACCTTAGGAAGGTAGGGAGAGAGATTAGGGAGGAGCAGGGAGAGAGGAAGAGAAAGAAACAGGTCCATTTAAAAAATTAGTTGCAGTGGCAGAGCAACAAGGGCTACATTCAAAGCATAAAGTGGGCCACGGGTACAAGAACAGAAAAGCAGAATTCATTGACAAGTCCAGTTTGCTCCTTCAGGCATCAGAAATTCACAAAAGTAATGTGGACTAACAACTTTCAGATTGTCACTGAGCATGGAATTAGGGATTAGACAAGTGTAAGTGAAAATGCACAGTGCTCTCTCACCAGGTTTTACTCAGCTTTTCCATTAAAAACAAAGACTGTCAGATTGTTTTCTTTAAACGACTGCATTATATGCCATGTACAAGATACTTACTACTAATATAGTTAAGTGAAAAAATAATGGATAAAAGATACAGTATGGAAAATTTTGAAAAAGCTGGAATGACTTATTAATGTCAAAGAAGACTGAAAAATGAATAAAATTAAATGAGTAAAGAGGTATATTGCTTAATGATGAAAAGGCTTTTCACTGAGAAGACATGACAAACTCAAGTTGTATGCCATTAACAATGGAATAAGACATGAAGAAAATCTAACCAAACTAAAAAGGGAAATAGACAAATCTACAATTATTCTTAGAAACTTCAACATGCCCCTCTTAGTAATGGATACAATAGAAAGAAGATCACCAAAGTTACAGAAGTTAGTAGTACGTCAAACATTTGTGGAACCTTTCACTTGACAACAACAATAAAATTGTTCAGGTGTATGTGCTGCACTTACCAAGATAGACCATATTCTAGGCAATAAGTCTGAATTTAATGAATGTAATACAATTGAAATATATGAAGCATGCTCTTAGATCATAACATAATTAAACTTAAAGTCAATGATAAAAAGACAACAGGAAAATCCCTAAGCATGTGGAAATTCAATGACACACTTATATGGGTCAAAGGGAGATTTCAATTAAAATAATAAAATATTGTGCATTGAATAAAAATAAAAATACAATATATAAAGTATGGTAATGCAGCAAGAATAGTACTTAGAAGGCTGGGGTTGTGGCTCAGAAGTAGTGAGATTGCCTAGCATGTGTGAGGCCCTGGGTTCAATTCTCAGCACCTCATGAAAATAAATAAAGATATTGTGTCCAACTACAACAAAACATGAATATTTAAAAAAATCTTTTAAAAAAAGAATAGCTCTCAGAAGGAAAGTTGTAGCATTAAATCCTGATACTACAAAAAAAAAGGAAAACCTGAAAATAGTAACCTAAGCCCCCCATTAAATGACAGAGAAGAAATAAGCCCAAAGCAAATGCTATGGATAACAACAATGAAAAGAACAAAAATTAATAAAATATAAAACAGGAAAAGAATCAACTCAACAAGAGCAGGCTCTCTGAAAAGATTAATAAAATCATCAAACCTCTAGCAAGAATTAAAAAGAAAACAAATTATCAGCATCCAGAATGAAAAGGGGCACATTAATGTAGATCCAACTGATATTGGAAGAATAATAATGGAATACTATGCCCAGATATGCACACATGAAGTTGACATCTTAAATGGAATTTGCCAATTCCTCAAAAATCACAAACTATATAAATTCCCCTAAGGCTAAATATGTAAACAGAAGAGTCTATTTTAAAAAAAATTGAATACATGATTAAGAATCTGAAAAAAAGTCTCAGCCAAATTCACTCCAATATATAAAGAATAAATATATATCAATTCTGCACAGTAGTTTTCAGATAATAGAGGAGGGAATACCTTTCTAACAAATTTTATGAAGCCACATTACCCTGGCACCAAAGGGAAAGATATTATAAGAATAGAAACAAACAACAGTAACAACAACAGCAGCAAAAGAATAGAAACCTTCAGAAAAAATATGATTCAGGAATATATATAAAATTTTTCTGAATGACCTTTTAGAAAATTGAATCCCAACATTAAAAGGATAACACAACTTTAATAAGATTTTGGTTCCAGACAGACAACAATGTGATAATTTTATTTCTCTATATTTCTTGTGCTAAGAATAGCTAAAGAGCATAGACCTAAAAGAACATCTGTAATGATGGAATACGAATCTCCATAAATCTGCTCTTCTACCAAAGCAGTGAAAATATTCCAAATTATGAAATTTAACTTTTTCCAAACTCTTGAATTTAACAAGAAGCTTAGAACAATTGGAAGAATATTTATTCAAGAATCCTCGGTAAGATCAGTGGTGATTGGGTTGGGAACGTAGCTCAGTTGGTAGAGTGCTTGCCTTGCATGCACAAGGCTCTGGGTTCAATCCCCAGGACCACCAAAAATGAAAAAAAAAAAAAAGATCAGCAGTGATTGAGGCATTTATCTTGGCATTCTTCATTGTGAAAGGAAAGATTTGCAAAAAAATAGGTCTGTTGGATAACATCACCAGAGTTTTTCTTTGGACATGCTATGTATTTGATGTTTATTATATATCCAACTGCCTACTTGATATTTCCACTTGGATGTCTAAGTCTTAAGTTCAGGAGAATATAAGAGCTATAAATATATAGGGAGTTATCCAGATATAATTTATAGACACTGCGTTAGGTTAGGCTTTCCTTATTCAAGACCTGTCTAGTTGCTTCAGACTCTTCATTCACAGTGCTCTGTGACAGAAGTAGAATTTAAACCTGGACTACAATTCCCCTGAGTAACCTACATCCTACTCCATGGAATTTCCAGCAATGGAACTCTAGCTGAAGAAGCAGCCTTTAGTGAAAAACTGTAAAAGCATAATGTTTTTTTCCAAATATTTATTTTTTGGTTAGACACAATACCTTTGTTTATTTATTTTATGTGGTGTTGAGGATTGAACCCAGGGCCTCACACATGCTAGGTGAGCGCTGTACAGCTGAGCCAAAACCCAAGCCCAAGCATAATATTTATACATGGTGATGAGTTGGAGATTAAGTAATTGGAATATAAGACAGGTAAATATACTAATTACACCAGTCCATCTGAGCCAAAACCCCAGCAAACTGATCTCTTAAGCACAGCAGACAGTGTTCTATGTTAAATTGGTGGGGAAACAGAGCAGTACTACTTTTATTCTTGACTGTGATCCTTAAACATTTTCTATGCCCTATGATACTTATTGGCACCAGTCTTTCTAGTCACACTTGCCAAGAATCCAGAGTCTGTTGAAGATCTCAAATGTGTGGCAAGCAGAGCAGTGAAGACAATGTAAACTGTGCCTAGACGAGAAGATTCCAATGTCTGCAGGTGATCGGATTTCTGTTGCTTTTGACATAACATTCATGAGTTCCTCCAATCTGTGTATACTCTGGGCTGCACGAGAAAAATACTGAGCATTGTGCAATTTTACCAATAGATAATTATAGTCAAAAGAGCACTAATGTAGTAGAACTAATTAATACATTTGGAAATTTTCTGCCTTTTGAATCTGGGTAGAAAGCAAAAATTCTCTCTTATCATGGTAGCTCTAAATAGGAGACATTCACTTACCTATCTCCCCTTCCAGGGTGTAGACACATGATCCAGACTGGGCTTAGATTAGGTGCACCCATCATAGATCCTGAATCAGAAAACAGTGACACAGGAAGGGAGGACATTTTGTTTCAGGAAGCAGTATCACAGATGGTGGTAACATTCAATTTCAAGAATATCTATAGATGAGGCCAAAGGTATTGGCAGTGAAATCTCTACCTTTTGTGTTTACCAGTGAAGATGGCAACAGTGTACTCAATTAGTTCTGTGGAATGATTTTTGGCTTCAATCTTCCTGTGAATTTATTTTGTCCAGGCCCTTTTCTCAAGTCTGTTTCCCCAGACTTTCTTGATATTCTGTAAGGTACTCAGTATGTTTTTATAATTTTTTTTTCATTTAAAATAGCCAGACGTGGCTTCTGTTGCTTGCAATCAAGAAGCCTGACTGTTTCAATGCTGGCACATAGAATGGAGAGTTACAAAAGAGAAGCCCCATACGATCCAGAGTGATGGGTTATTAGACTGAAAGGCCACATATCCCATTTCCAGTTATGATGGGCTAAGTTATTTCAACAAAATATATAACAGATGAATGAGATCTGTTTTCAAATTTGTACACCAATGAGCTGATAAAACAGGAAAAATTAACAGTCAAAATTGAAGGGACACTAAGAATCCTGAGAGGTAAATGTACACGAAAACTGCTTTGAATGTTCATTACGGGTAAAATAAATCAAAATCCAGAGACCATTTAAGGAAGAAAGTTGACAGAAGAGTAATCTGTGTTAGGTGGGTTTGAGGTAGTAAGGGAACCAAGCACCGGGCAACCCATGCATGAAAGAACAACCAATCAGGCGCCTCATAACCACCTGTCAATCAGTGGGGTCTCCTGACCAATCCTGGAAGGATAGGATCTCAGCAAGAACCCCCAACCAATCCCAGGAGGACCAGGGACTCTAAAAACCTCCCTTTCCTGTCCCAAGACTCCCTTCCTGCCCTAAGCCCAATAAAATTCCAATCCAGCTGAGCCTGGGTACGCCTCCGCAGGACTGCTCTTTTGGACTGGAGGGTCTCACCTGGGAGTTAATCTCTCTCTCTCTCTTTTATTTAATTGATTTTATTTTTTTTAAATACACGACAGTGGAATGCATTACAATTCTTATTACACATATAGAGCACAATTTTTCATATCTTTGTATATAAAGTATGTTCATGCCAATTCATGTCTGTTTACATGTACTTTGTTTTTTTTCTTTGTATTATAATTCTTATTACACATATCTACCTCAGTTTTTCATATCTCTGTTTGTATGTAAGGTATGTTGACACTCAATTCAAGTCTTCATTCATGTACTTTGTATAATGATGTCCATCACATTCCACCATCCTTGCTACTCCCCTGCCTCTTCCCTTTCCCTCCCTCCCCTCTCTGGGAGTGAATCTCTAAAGCCTTGTTCAGCTGCTTTTAATCTGCCTCCTTTTGGTCACCAGTGCCTGACCTTACAACCTGGGATTTCAAAGGGCTACAATATCCAGGTGAAGATGAAGCAGAAATAGGTCAGCCCTCATTTGAGATTGCACCCAAGATTTGATTAACTCATCCCTCTGGGGGCAAACAGGTTTTTTTGGACTACTTTGATTAAGGTGGTTCTGAACTGGTAGTAAAATAGGCATCTAATAGAAGCAAGGTGAGTCCCTTTTAAAAAGATGTTTTCTTAAAAAAATGTTTTAATTAGTTATACATGACAGTACAATGATCTTGACATATCATACATTTGAATCAGATGGGATATAATTTCTCATTTTTCTGAGTGTACAGGTTGCAGAATTACATTGGTCATGCAGTCACGTATATACCCACAGCAATAATAATGTCTATTTTATTCTGCTGCCCTTCCTATTCCCCCTTCCCCTCCCCTCCCCTCCCCTCACTTTTCTCTACCCAATCTAATGTGACCTACTTCTTTTTTTTCCCCTCACGTCGCCATACCTGAATTCTGTATAATGAAGGAGGTCTCCTTCCCTCTTCCATGCAATTCCCCTTCTCTTTCCCTTTCCCTCCCACCTCTCTTCCCTATCTAGAGGTAATTTTCTTCTCATGCTCTTCCTCCCTACCCCATTTTGAGTCACCTCCCTTAATCTAGGACTCAAATTGTTTCAACAAATTATTTTCGAACATAAATTACTAGCTCATGGACATAGATAACCAAGAATTAGGAAGCACAATGTCACAATCAAGAATTAGCCAAAGAACATACAATAGAAATAGATACACAAAGAGTTCCTTAAAGGAAACATAAGGAAGAGAGCTTCCAGAAATAGTTTTAAAAAACAATGATCATTGATGTAGCTATGTCACTGTAGTATGCTGATTTTAAGTCCTTTGGGTATAAACTGAAGGCGAATGTTCTCTCTGATATGCTGATGCAAACTCACAAGGGGTGGGAGTAGGGAAAAATAGAAGTTCTTTGGATTAGACAAAGGGGAATGAAGGGAAGGGAGGGTGAATAGAAATAAGAAAGACAGTAGAATGAATCAGACGTGACTTTCCTATGTGTATACATGATTACATGTCCAATGTAATTGTACATCATGTACACACAGAAGAATCAGAAGTTATACTCCATATATGTTTAACAGTATCAAAATACATTCTACTATCATGTATAACTAACAAGAACAAATAAAAAACAATGATCATTAATGTCTCTCATGCCCCTGGCCCATACCTGTGCCTCTATAGGTGGCAGGAACAGATTTTTCTTTATTTTTGCAAAATCAATGTGCTCCATTCAGTAATCAATACTTAACCTTTCCCTCTAGTCATCTTTAAAAAAAATTTCTCCCAGACCTTTTTGTCAAGATACATTGTGGACAGGAGAAAGTAATTTTACAGGAAAAAAAAAATAGAAACAACACAACCAGAAAGATACACATTCCTAATAATGTTCAGAGTTTTCAAAAAATTTCAAAATAGTTTTTCATAACCTTCTACCTCTTTTGTCCTGAGCAGTTATCTAAGTAAGCGGTCTTGAAAAAGCTATATTCTTTTCAGAGGACACTTGCATTAAATACACTGCCTTACTAAGGTGGGTACTAGAGAAAAATTAGGTAAGTCAGTCTATCAGTCATTTTTTGAAGGCTGCAGTCAAGGAAGTGGAGTACAATAACTAAGAACAGTAAGATACCCTGGGAATGGGTCAAAATTCAACCTGTCAGAAGTGGGTGGAGGGTTCACATTTCTTGGGATATGTCCATTCCTAACATGCAGGTTTGGGCAGGAATCACAAGTTACAAATACAATTAGCTTCGGGTCTTATGTTTACATCTTTAATCCATTTTCAGTTGATATTTGTAACTGATGAGAGCCAGGCTTTCAGTTTCATTGTTCCTCAAGTAAATAACCAATTTTCTCAGCATTGTTTAATAGAAGGAATAAGTTCTGATGTTCTATGGCGCAGCAGGATGACGATAATTAACAATAATACATTATGTTTGGTGTGTGGGAGACCTTGCCTTTTGGTTTTATTTCCCCCATCGGGTTTCTCCCTGATGAAGTTAAGTTTCTGTCTCTTGAGAAGAACATCACGTTATCCCTTACCTCTCGTCTCCGAGGGGCGCCAAGCTGGAGGGCGCCAAAGTCAAAAGTTTTCTCAACCAATCCTCGAGGACAAAGTCCGCTCACCTGTTCCTGAGTCACCCTGCCAATCAGCACCCGCCACGTCGCCAAAGCAACCCTTCTTAAGCTGAAGCTTGCAGGCTTATGCTGCTGCTCTCCTTCTCTCCTTTTCTCCCCCTTCGGGCAGCCCCCAATAAATTCTCTAGGTTGAATCTCCACCTCAGGTGAGTCACTCGCCTTTCACATTATACATCTCAAAACAGGAGAGAGGAATTTGAATGTACTCACCATACAGAAATGATAAACGTTTGGGTGCTGGGTATGTGCCCGTGGCCCACTTCATACTTTGAATGCAGCCCTTGCTGCTCTGCCACTGCAACTGATTTTTAAAATGGACATGCTTCTTTGCTTTCCTCTCTCCCTGCTCCTCCCTAACCTCCCCCCTACATAATCTCAAGGGAAACAGGATTACATTTCTTCCCCATCCTAGGCAGAGTTACCCGTGCTTGAGTACACACCCACCACAGGAACGAAGTAATTCAGACTTTGGGGATGGCACCAGAAGATCTCAGAAATGACTGTCTCCCAATTCACAAGTGAATTACACCTCCAACAGGGAACACATGGAATGTAGCCTTAGAGTCACCTCTTTAAACTCCCACCCCCCATTCCTGCTCATGGGCAGAATCACAGCATCTGGGACTGGAGTCCCCTGTTTCTCCTTTGCTAGCAAAGCAACCAACCTTATTTTTCCTTTTTCTCAAAACCATGTCCTCGTTATTGCATTGGCTTTGGAGAAAAGGACCAAGGTTTTGGCAACAGGTATGCTAATTACTCTGAGTTGATCACTACCCAAAGCATGCATGAATTAAAAATATCACAATGTACTTAATAAATCTGTACAAATATTATGTGTCAGTTAAAAAGAATTAAAGTAGGGGCTGGGGATAGCTCAGTTGGTAGAGAGCCTTCCTTGCATGCACAAGGCCCTGGTTTCAATCCCCAGCAATAATAATAATAATAATAATAATAATAATAATAATAATAATGGAATTAAACTAGCTTCTTCATGTGAAGTTAGGTTTTGATTAGGAGCTGGCACAGTGGTGTTCAATTTTAGTCCCAGTTACTCACCAGTTACTCAGGAGGCTGAGGCAGGAGGATCACTTGAGCTCAGGAGTTTGAGCTCAGCCTGAGAAACAGGAAAAATAAATAAATAAATATATATAGTTTGTACAGAGAACATGTTCTTCCTCATGGGCATCTGTAAGTGATCTATATAGCTCCAGCTCTCTGGATGTTTTTTATAAATGAGGACCCCACAGAGAGTTATTCTAAATGTGCAACGGAGCCTCCAAATAAAAGTTCTGTTGATGGAATCTGAACCTGCTCTCAGTTTTGCACAGTGTCTGCTCCGGTGAAACAACCCATAGCAGGTCATAACAGCTTAGAGTGACGTCAAGGTAATTAAAATTTATGAAAACAAACCAGCCACTCTTCTTCACCAGCAAAGCCAAGATATTGCAGAGCCAGAAAGCCATGGTTCAAATCCACATGAAAAGCAAGGATTTCTAAAAGCCCTTGTCAGTCCTAGAGCCCATTTGACCCACTCAAAAATATGCACTTCAAGCTGGAAAATTAGCCTGTAAAGGTCAGATTCTGAGAGCTCATTAGCAAATTAAAAAATTGATTTTTAAAACTCCCAAAGTAAATTTCATTCTATAGATTATCTCCCATTTAGTGTTGTGTTCCTTTTATCAGAGGCTCCAATATGCAAAAAGCATAGCTAATATCATCACTTACAGAGATTTATTCTGCTTGTAATACTCAAAGAGTTTAATGCAAAAAGAAAACAAATTATAACTCCCTAACATTATTTTTTTTCCTTTCACAGATTGTGATATTCCCTCTGGAATTTATGATATTATAAGAATTTTATCATATATCTTGATATAAAGTGAATGTTTGTGTCTAACCACCCCCATCCCAAAGTGATAGCTTTTGGAAGCGGAGCCTCTGGGAGGTAAATAGGTACAGGAGAGGTCTTACACTTAGATCCTCCATGATGGTATTAATACCCTCATAAGAAGAAGAGTCAAGGGCACTCTCTCTCCACCTTCTATATAAGGAAACAGCATGAAGGTGGCTGTCCCCAAGCAGGAAGCAGGCCCTCATCACATTGTATGAATCTGCTTGTCCAGCAATCTTGGGCCTTCTAACTGTGGAGGGAGGGGTAAATGCTTGTTTGTCATTTAAGTCACCCACTGTCTTTTGCTATAAACGCTTGAACTAAGACACACCCAGGTATAATAGTCACAAAAATGCAGAGCATCTAAAAAAAAAAAAAAAAAAACCCACCTTTTCTTTCTCATTGCAAACCCCCAGCAAAAAATCAGCATGTAGAGGGTTAACATTGTGGTTCCCTGGAGGTCACTGCTGGAATGCAAGGTGGGTGGGAGCTGCTCCAATTGCAGTTTGTTATTTTTCCCCTCTTTTTCTGCCAGGCTTATCTAAAGCTTTGCTCAAGCACTTGAACTGATTTAAATTTTTGAACTCCTACTTCAAGGACAGAGCAATGCAAACTATTAAACATTTTTGGCCCAGCGAAAGCTCACCTTTGAAAATGGTTGGACTCTTTCCCCTCCCACTTAGAAGCAGAAAGTAAAACAAAAGTTGTGATCTGGTTGACTTTTTGCCCTCCAGAATGGCTACAAGCATCTGGGGCATCTGGCAAACCAAGTCTCAATATTATACACCATAGCAATCAGAAAAATGATAAATCATAGGAGCATCTCAATAAACACAGAAAACACTTTGACAAAATCTATCACCTCATTTATGATTAAAACAAACAAGCTTATTGAATAAAGAATAGAAGGAAACTTCCTCACATGTAAAAAAACCCACAGTTAACAAAATACTTAGTGAAAGACAGGAAAAAGACAAGAAGGTCAGCTTTTGTCACTTCCAGTTAACATTGTATTGGAGGACCTACTCAGACCAAATAGGTGAAATGGAGAAATAAAAGTCATCCAGATCACAAAAGAAGGGGTAAAACTACATTTACAGAGGAGGTGAACTTTCATATAGAAAACCCTAAGAAATTCACAAAAAAGTGGAGTGAATATTTCAGGTAAATGCAAATACAATATTAAAGTAAAAAAAAAAAACCCAAAACCAAAACAAACAAAAACCCTGAATTGTTCTTCTATACATTAGCAATGAAAAACCTGAAGATATTTTAAATTCCATTTCAAAAAGAATGAAGCATTTAGAAATATACTTACTAAAAGAAGTGCATGATTTTAACATTAAAACTACATAAAAACAATTAAAATAGCTTAAAAGAAGATATGAATAAATGAAAAGTGTTGAGAGCCACAGCCAAAGGGGCCCCAGCAAACTTCCAGCTGCCAGCAAACTTCCAGCTGCTTTTATTCCTTTGAGTATTAATTGTCCTACAGCCTCAGGATACCTAGTAAGAATAGTGTTAGGAGAATAAGATAAATGTATCCATAATAATGGACCTTCTTGCCAAAATACTCCTGTAGGAATATTTTTTGTTGGTAGTACAATAAATAATAAAGGCAAACTTATATCAATTCTATCCAAATGCATATTTTCCATATATGTTTCAATGATTTTTAATGCCTTTCTTGCTTCAGGCGTTAACATTCGGGGTGAATTTGGATCTGATGGACCTTGTAGGATATCAAATAAAGGTCCCAACTCTCCTGTTGGTATACCTAAATAAGGCCTTATCCAATTTATGTCTCCTAATAACTTTTGAAAGTCATTAAGTGATTTGAGTTGATCTACTCGTATTTGAATTTTTGGTGGACGGACCATGGTTGAGGATAATAGAACTCCTAAATAATTAATTGGAAAATTTAATTGTACTTTATCTATTGCTATCTCTAGATTATAATTTTTTAATAAGTTTGTAAGTGTGGCATAACATTCTAGCAATGTGTTTTTATCTTTGTGTGCTAATAATACATCATCCATATAGTGAAATATTTGTAGTTCAGGATTTTGATTTCTAAGTGGCTGGATTACTTTGTTAACATAAATTTGACACATAGTTGGGCTGTTAGCCATCCCTTGAGGGATTACTTTCCATTCATATCTCTGATCAGGACCTTCATGATTCAGTGCAGGGATAGTAAATGCAAAACGTGGACTATCCTCAGGATGAATTGGAATTGAAAAAAAACAATCTTTAATATCTATAACTAAAACATACCAGGTTTTTGGCAAAGCAGACAACTGAGGAATCCCTGATTGAGCAGGTCCCATAATAACCATCTCATTATTAATGGCTCTTAAATCTTGCAATAATCTCCATTTACCAGATTTCTTTTTGATGACAAAAATGGGAGTATTATGGGGAGATACAGAAGGTTGTATATGTCCTTCTGCTAATTGTTGTTTGACCAGGTCATGGGCTGCTTGTATCTTTTCTTTAGTCAGGGGCCACTGAGGAACCCATACTGGTCTTTCTGATTTCCAAGTAATTTTTATTGTCTCAGTGGCCCTTTCTGAAAATCCAACCCATGTCTGTCTGTTCCTTGATCTATTTGTATTGGTGCTGCTATACCTTGTTCTTGTTTTTCTAATCTTTTTCCTTTCCTAAAACCTTGTCTAGTCATAATAGTGGGTGCATTTTGGTTGATGTTATTTGTTAATGTCAAACCTAATTGATCTAGGACATCTCGTCCCCATAAATTTATAGGAAGATGATCCAATACATATGGCTGTATAGTTCCTTCACATCCTTCAGGATCCTTCCAATCTAATACCATTGCACTTCTATGGGGATTAGTTGCCACTCCTAGGCCTCGAAGCGTTTGAGTGGCTTGTTGTAATGGCCAATGTTTTGGCCATTCTTGACGAGAGATGATGCTAAGGTCTGCACCTGTATCCAGTAGCCCATTAAATTCATGTCCTTGAATATTTAGTTTTAGCATGGGGCGAGAATCTAAATTTAAAGAAAGCATAGCCCAATCTACACCTGTGGAGCCTAATCCCTTGGAACCTCTTTCTACAGTACGACTGGAAAATTTATCATGTAGGCTGGGTATTATTAGTAACTGTGCTATTCTATCTCCTGGTGAAATTACTGATATACCCTTTGGAGAACTGGCTATAATTTTTATTTCACCTTGATAATCGGGATCAATTACCCCAGGACTTATCATAAGTCCTTTTAGAGTAGAAGAGCTGCGTCCCAATAATAAGCCTACTGTTCCTTTGGGAAGAGGTCCTTTCACCCCTGTGGGAATGATTTGAACTCCCATCTCTGGAGTTAGTACTGCTCTGGCGGAGGCGCAGATGTCCAACCCTGCGCTCCCTCTGGTTTGTCTGATGAGGGATCTGATGGACAATGTGTCCTGGGCACTACCCTGATGGGGTTGCTGGGTTCCTCCAGTGCTCCGTATATTTGTGGTTTTGGGCCCCGGAGCATTGGGCCCCCCTGTCCATTTTTTGGCAATGGAGCCCGATGCCTTTCTCCACGATATCGTGGATAAACACCTGGTCCTTGTTCGTTTTTTGATAATGGAGTACCCTCTATGGTGGTTTGAGAACGGCATTCATTAGCCCAATGTCTCCCTCTACGGCATCGTGGGCAAATACCTGGTATTCTACTCCTTTGATACCTAGTTTTGTTAAACCCTCCTCCAATGGGGCAATTCCTTTTAAAATGTCCTGTTTGTTCATAATTGTAGCATGTTCTTGGCCTGGCATCTAAAGCCTGTTTTACTGCAGCTGCCACAATTTGCCCTTGTTCATTAATGTCTCTGGCATCTAAAGCCTGTTTTACTGCAGCTGCCACGACTTGCTCTTGTTCATTAATGTCTCTACATAATTTAATATATGTGTTTAAATCTTCATGTTTCCATGGTCTAATGATATCTCTGCACCAACGATTCGCTTGCTCATAAGCCAGGTGTTTTAGTAATGGCATTGCTTGTTCTGTATTCCCAAAAACTCTGGTAGCTGTTTGAATAAGCCTATCTACAAATTCAGCATAAGGTTCATTAGCTCCTTGTATTACCTTAGATAATTGACCTTGTAAACCTCCATGTCCTTGTAAAGTCTTCCATGCCTTAATTGCATCTGCAGCAATTTGTGCGTATACGCCAGGATCATATGCAATTTGTTGCTGCTGATCCTCATAACGTCCCTTTC